TCTATCTCCACAGTATTGAGATCCTCATTCATATGATCTTTATCTTGGACACCCTGCATATTATAGGTTATTTCAAATATCCATAAAAAGTACATTTAGCGACTTTGAACACGTTGTACAGACTATAAGAAAATCTAAAACACTTCAAAATTGTATGAACCTATGGAATTTTGTTTTCAACATTTCATAGCTATTGGTTGCTAAAATTTGTTGATTGGAACTTAAAGCTCATTCGCTGTATTTGACGGGCTGTTACCATATAGGTGGAGAATAACGGAATGTTGTTGGTGAAATTGGCCCTAAGACAACTTTCGATTCTTGTTTTGCCAAACTGAATTAAATTGGCTACACATCTCACATGTAACGGAGAAATTTCATGTCTGCTGTTTAGAGCCCTAAAACTATTTAAATCGTTGACTCCGCTGCTACTCCACCCATTTTTTTTCTGTATAAAACAGAAGACATCACCAACAATACAATCTGTTTTTTTTTGCAACCAGATAACCAAGAGTTTCCACATGTCAACTTAATTTAAAATATCAAACTACGTTTTTTTGTTCTTTTTAAAATCATCTAAAATAGGTGTTGGTCTTCCATCTTTAATGATCTCCTTTTTTTTCTTAAAAATTATACAAGTAGAATGACTTTTCAAATAGTTGATCGATTACGCAGCGATATTCATCTATGTTTAATTGCACGCACACTACAGCCGGTAACCAAAACGGCTACTAACAAGTGAGAAGTTAGTAACCAAATCAGAAAATGGTAACAAGCCCACATAATAGTCGCAGCGCCCCACGCACTCGGGCGACCGCGATCAGACACGAGCCGGCTCCGAAGGTCCCCGACGGACTACCAAGTGTATCCATAAATGAAAATGGTAACAACCGACAACCAAGTCAGCTTCATCGTGTTCGTAAAACGTAGATACTACAGGGCGCATTATTTTCGTGGGGCTAATTTACTGAATTACTATTACATATCGCTGTTGGTAAACAAATAAATGTACTTCGTCATAAAATATTTATTTTTAAGATTTTCAACTGTTACCAATGGTAACAATGGTTACGTGGACGCTTCGCCGCTGCCGCCCAACCAACTTGTAGATATTTTTTCTTATGTCTAATTTATACGACTTCTTAAAGCCAAAACTTCAAAATAAATAAATGTCAACTGACAGTGAAGTTAGTTAGCAAACTTTTGTTTCCAAAGGCAGCTTGATATTATTTTGCGCTTGTGCCAAAGCATCATAGATTTTCCATAGATTAGTCCTTAAAACTTAAAAATATTATCAGTGGAAGGATCGCATACCTGATGGCCGCGCCTGCTTCTGCTCCAGGCTTAATGACGGAAAGGCCATTGACATTATAATCAAAAGTGAGTGTGGGATCAAATCTGTCTAGGTCTTGGTTAAAAAGCCGCAAGTTGATTTTATATAAGTAAAAAATGGCTCACGCCCTTTTGGCTGTCTCTCACAGATTCGAAAGTAAGTTTAAAAAACACCACATAAACGATATTCCATTGTATACTAAGTGACATATAAATCCGAACACCCAGTTTAAATGGTTTTATTTTAATAAAATTTTGTATAAGTACTTAATGAAGCATAATAAGTAAATGATAAAAATTTCAAATGATTGCACTGCTTTAAAGCCCTTTGACCTTTAATAATGTGTGGATGCACCCTGATGTGCTACGCATTCTCCAACGCGCCTAGGCATGCTTCTCATCAGGTGGTCAATGTCCTCCTGTGGTATCTCATTCCAGGCAACCACCAACTCCTCTCGAAGTGCTTCTAGAGTCTGAGGAGGACGTTGCAAATTGAGCAATCTCCTACCCATCATATCCCACACGTGCTCAATTTGGGATAAGTCGGGAGATCTTGGTGGCCATGGTAACAATGTGACATCATTATGTTGAAAGAAGTCTATTGTGACTCTTGCAACATGTGGTCGGACATTATCTTGTTGGAAAGTTGGATCTGCCAGGGTGTCAAGATAGGGTAAAAGATGGGGTTCTAGAACTTCGTGGATATAACGCTGCGCGTTCATGTTACCTCTGATGAAGATTAAAGGTGACCTGGAACCATAAGCTATAGCACCCCAAACCATAACTCCAACAGTGTGATGAACATGTCTTTCAACAAAAAACTGTGGATTCCTCCTTTCACCACGTCGCCTTTAACCCTGGCACGAGCATCGTGCATGCCTAAACAAAATCTAGACTCGTCACTAAAGACAATACTGTTCCATTCCTGATCCCAGAGTGACCGTTGTCTGCACCACTCAGGGCGATTACATCGGTGTTCTCGAGTTAAAGGGAGGACCCAGTGTGGCCGATATGAAAACAAGTCAAAACTTCTCATTCGTCGGTAAACACTTCGCATGCCAATAGGTCTTCCGTGTTCTGCAAACCATTCATTTGCAATGGACCTGGTAGTGGAGAAACGGTCCCTTAAGGCCAATAGTCTTAGGCGGCGATCTTCACGGTCTGTTGTTCTACGGCGGCGTAGTGCCCCTTGCTCTTTGCGTACGGCCTTCTCGAAGCCATGCCTGACAACACCTAACCACAGTGCCTACACTTCTTTGCACTCTAACTGCAATTGCCCGAAAAGAAAGTCCAGCTTCTCGAAGTCCCACTATACGGCCCTTATCAAACTCACTAAGTTGACGAAATCGTACAGGTCTCGGTAATCTAGGCATCGTAACCGATCGTAAAGGATGTCAAGAACCAAAATCCGCCAACGTTGATTCTTTACTGCGGCTGAAATATTCATTTTTAGAGCGTTAGTGAATTAAAAAAAGCAGTATAAAAACCGGAATGTACAACTGATAAGGCTGAAATTTTTTTCACTTGTTATTTACAGTAAGATGAATACATTCACCAACTTTAATTAAAATAAAACCATTTAAACTGGGTGTTCGGATTTATATGTCACTTAGTATATTTATCTACAAGAATATCAAAATGCAAACAAATGTAACTGTCTACACGTAGACAACGGTGTATTTGACATGACGTAGACAATGACCCCATGACAAATAACATTGAAAAATGTATTTCATTCCCCTACATCGTGGAAGGTCACGTCATAAATATCCGTCACCTGGTATTGATCGAATTTTGATCAACTTTAGACATAAGTTAATAAGGGTGTATGGCAAATAGTTAAGGTATCTCGACAGCTTGGCTCGAATGAATGGATCTTCTTATATATCTGCTGAATGTATTGCGTGCTTGAGTTACCGGGAATAAATCATTATTACCATTACGAAATTGAACAATCATGTCAGGTTAAAAAGCTTAACATCGTAGGGCTTACCATAATTTATTCGACATGTTTTGAGCTTGCCACCGCTACTTGTAGTTATCAATATTCCGTAAAATATCAATTAACTGGTTTCAAAACTGATCTGCGAAATCTATGCATCGCTCGGATGTACAGGAAGTGAAAGAACAAAATACAGGGTGCGGCAGAGGGGATGGACGGTTTTAAAAAAATCATAAAATAGTTAATTTTTACTCGAAAACAAATTTATTGATGGAATCAGGTTTACAAGGAAATAGCATTTGAGACAATCGAGTGTGGAAAATCACATCAGGCATGTGGTGGCCGAAATCGTTGATGCAGTGCTGGAGGCGTTCTTGGAAGTTCGCGTAGACTCTCTCCAGCATCGCTCTCTCAACTTGGACGACTTCCACGCGAATTTCGCCCTTCAATTCGTCCAGAGTTCGGGGCTTGTTCGCGTATACTCTAGCCTTGAGGTGTCCCCACAAGAAAAAATCGCATATGGATAAATCTGGGGACCGAGGCGGCCAATGGACATCGCCAAACCTGGAAATAAGGCGACAAGGGAAGAGAGGGCGAATAACGTCCATGGATGCTCGAGCTGTGTGGGCGGTCGCCCCATCCTGCTGGAACCACACACGTCGGATTGGAAAACGTCGCCGTCGTAATTCAGCGAGAAAGAAGTTGGTGATCATCACCGTCTTCGAAGAAGTAAGGGCCAATGATGCAAGTTTGCGATACAGCGCACCAAGCCGTTTCTTTTGGGCTGTGCAGCGGTCTTTCGTGTAACTGTTGCAGATTTTCATTAGCCCGATAACGACAATTCTACTGGTTAACCATGCTGTTTAGTTGAAAGTGGTTTTCGTCACTCATAAGCTTCTCATTTTGATCGATCAGTGCTTCCATCTCACGTGCGAAGTTCATTCGTTGTGTATAATCTCCGGGCTGTAACTGTTGCACAATGGCCAATTTGTAGGGGTGAAAGCGGAGATCCATATGCAAAATTCGCCTTACCGAACGATCACTAAGGCGAAGTGCAGCAGCATGTTTCCGGGCAGATCGAGTCGGACTGCGAAGAAAAACCTGTCGAACGCGTTCAACATTTTCAGGAGTTCGAACTGTTCGCGGCGCTCCTCTTGGTCTTCTGTTGATCAGTCCACCATGTCTGCGAAGTGATTCAACCCAACAAAAGATGGTGTTTCGAGAGGGAACAGCTCTATTCCGATGAATGTTGAAGTGGCGACGAAACTCACGCTGTACGACGATGACTGACTCATTATTTAGGACGAAACAATCATAGACGAAAACGCGGTGCTCTACCGTACAAGGCTCCATAACGACAACTGGTAAAATAATGATAGGATCTCACGAGTCAAACGGCACCCTCCCCACCTCTCTCGTAGACGGAGGCGGAGAGTACTACCCATCCCAAAAACGTCCGTCCTTTCTGCCGCACCCTGTACAATAATATCCCACAAAAACTTCATAGGTACAACTCGGAATAGGCAGTATATAGATCGATGTACATAGGATCTTAGTATCCGGCAAAAAATTGCTGCCGCTCATGGTCATTCCCTCTATCTGTCCTTACGGCCGTGTCTGCATCTCGAAAAGCTGCTGTGGTTCGTTACTCTTGGATTATATATAATATATTCGAGTTCATTATTCGCCCAATATAGCGATTAATTATATAGAATCTCTACATTTACAGGTGGAAATAGGAAACAGCCGAAGTATACTGGACTGCCAGAACAAAGGATTTGTTTGCTACGACGAAACGAGGTTTTATCAATGCGTGGAATCTGGAAATACCACCATCGTCATAGGCGAACCACAAAGCTGCCCAGAAGGCCTATTTTGTAATGACGTGTCTGACCTCGAATGCGACGAACCGTGGTGGGAGGACACTACTACCAGTACGAGAAGCAGTACATCCTCCAAAACCCACAGCGCATCTACTGGTTCGGCACCCAGAACCTCTACAATTACAGATACTTCAAAAGACAGTGTACCTGAAACTCATACACAACCCGCCATTACCACAAAGGTCTATCCGTCGACCAGCACATCAGCTGCAACAACCACTGAGGCGACTGAAAGAACAACCACTCCATCTAAGGTAATCACCGAGCATTTTTCTACACAAAGCGGATCGACTACGTCCGCAACGTCCTCCTTTGCCGCATCATCCACTGAGGTGACTGAAGATATATACACTCCTTCTAAGGCAGACAATAAGAAATCTTCCACTTCAAGCGCGTCGACTCCATCTGTACCATCCCCCACTGCCGCATCAACCACTGAGGCAGCTGAACAAACGACGACTCCGTCTGAAGCAAGCACCGAGGAATATTCCACTACAAACAGGTCGATTCCGGCTCTAGCATCCTCTACTGCTGCGTCAACCACTGAAGCAAATGCTGAATCAACAACCCCGTCTGATGAAAGTACCGAGGAGCCTTCTGCTCCAAGCAGATCGACACCATCTGCAATCCCATCTACTGAAGCACCAACCAGTGAGGCAACTGAAGAAACTACCACATCGCCTGAGGCAGACACCGAAGAACCGACCATTCCAAGCGGCTCGACCCCGTCTGTAGCACCCTCTACTGTTGCACCAACCAGTCAGGCAACTGAAGGAACGACCACTTCATCGGAGGCAAAATCCCATGAGCCTTCCACTCCGACCAAATCGGCTCCATATACAGCAACCTCTACCGCTCCATCAACCACTGAGACAACTGAACTAACGACCACCCCATCTGAGGCTTACACAAGGGAATCTTCCCGTCCAGGCGGATCAACACCATCTGTAACATCATCTACTGCTGCACCACCTACTGAGGCGACTGAAGGAACAACCAACCCGTCCGAGGCAAGCACCGAGGAATCTTCCACTCCGAGCGGATTCACTCCATCTGCAGCATCCTCTACTGCTACATCAACCAGTCAGGCACCTGAAGAAGCGACCACTCCATCGGAAGCAAACACAGAGGAATCTTCCACTTCGAGCGGACCGACCCCATCTGTAGCACCATCAACTGCTGAATCAAACACCGAGGCAACTGAAGAAACTTCCATTCCAACCGAATCGACTTCATCTGCAATGTCCTCGTCTGCCTCAACAACCACTGAGGTAGCTGAAGCAACAAGCACTCCATCGGAGGTAAACACAGAGGAACATTCTACTCCGAGCGACTCGACTCCGTCTGTATCATCGTCTACTGCTGCAGCAACCACTGAGGCATCTGAAGAACCTACAATTTCGTCTCAAGCCAACACCGAGGAAGCTGCCACTACAAGCGGATCCACTGCATATGTATCACCCTCCACCGCTACATCAACCACTGAGGAAACTGAAGGAACAAGAGCTCCATCGGAAGCAAGCACAAAGGAATCTTACACTCCGAGCGGATCGACTCCATCCTCTACTGCTGCATCAACCACCGAAGCAACTGACGAAACGACAATCACGTCTGAAGCAAATACCGAGGAATATTCTACTCCAAGCGACTCGACACCATCTGCTACCTCATCTAATTCTGCATCTACCAGTGAGGCAACTGAAGAAACGACCACTCCGTCTGAGGCTAACACAGGGGAATCTTCCCGTCCAGGCGGATCAACACCATCTGTAACATCATCTACTGCTGCACCACCTACTGAGGCGACTGAAGGAACAACTAACCCGTCCGAGGCAAGCACCGAGGAATCTTCCACTCCGAGCGGATTCACTCCATCTGCAGCATCCTCTACTGCTACACCAACCAGTCAGGCACCTGAAGAAGCAACCACTCCATCGGAAGCAAACACAGAGGAATCTTCCACTTCGAGCGGACCGACCCCATCTGTAGCACCATCAACTGCTGAATCAAACACCGAGGCAACTGAAGAAACGACCACTCCGTCTGAGGCTAACACAAGGGAATCTTCCCGTCCAGGCGGATCAACACCATCTGTAACATCATCTACTGCTGCACCACCTACTGAGGCGACTGAAGGAACAACCAACCCGTCCGAGGCAAGCACCGAGGAATCTTCCACTCCGAGCGGATTCACTCCATCTGCAGCATCCTCTACTGCTACATCAACCAGTCAGGCACCTGAAGAAGCGACCACTCCATCGGAAGCAAACACAGAGGAATCTTCCACTTCGAGCGAACCGACCCCATCTGTAGCACCATCAACTGCTGAATCAAACACCGAGGCAACTGAAGAAACTTCCATTCCAACCGAATCGACTTCATCTGCAATGTCCTCGTCTGCCTCAACAACCACTGAGGTAGCTGAAGCAACAAGCACTCCATCGGAGGCAAACACAGAGGAACATTCTACTCCGAGCGACTCGACTCCGTCTGTATCATCGTCTACTGCTGCAGCAACCACTGAGGCATCTGAAGAACCTACAATTTCGTCTCAAGCCAACACCGAGGAAGCTGCCACTACAAGCGGATCCACTGCATATGTATCACCCTCCACCGCTACATCAACCACTGAGGAAACTGAAGGAACAAGAGCTCCATCGGAAGCAAGCACAAAGGAATCTTACACTCCGAGCGGATCGACTCCATCCTCTACTGCTGCATCAACCACCGAAGCAACTGACGAAACGACAATCACGTCTGAAGCAAATACCGAGGAATATTCTACCCCAAGCGACTCGACACCATCTGCTACCTCATCTAATTCTGCATCTACCAGTGAGGCAACTGAAGAAACGACCACTCCGTCTGAGGCTAACACAGGGGAATCTTCCCGTCCAGGCGGATCAACACCATCTGTAACATCATCTACTGCTGCACCACCTACTGAGGCGACTGAAGGAACAACTAACCCGTCCGAGGCAAGCACCGAGGAATCTTCCACTCCGAGCGGATTCACTCCATCTGCAGCATCCTCTACTGCTACACCAACCAGTCAGGCACCTGAAGAAGCAACCACTCCATCGGAAGCAAACACAGAGGAATCTTCCACTTCGAGCGGACCGACCCCATCTGTAGCACCATCAACTGCTGAATCAAACACCGAGGCAACTGAAGAAACGACCACTCCGTCTGAGGCTAACACAAGGGAATCTTCCCGTCCAGGCGGATCAACACCATCTGTAACATCATCTACTGCTGCACCACCTACTGAGGCGACTGAAGGAACAACCAACCCGTCCGAGGCAAGCACCGAGGAATCTTCCACTCCGAGCGGATTCACTCCATCTGCAGCATCCTCTACTGCTACATCAACCAGTCAGGCACCTGAAGAAGCGACCACTCCATCGGAAGCAAACACAGAGGAATCTTCCACTTCGAGCGGACCGACCCCATCTGTAGCACCATCAACTGCTGAATCAAACACCGAGGCAACTGAAGAAACTTCCATTCCAACCGAATCGACTTCATCTGCAATGTCCTCGTCTGCCTCAACAACCACTGAGGTAGCTGAAGCAACAAGCACTCCATCGGAGGCAAACACAGAGGAACATTCTACTCCGAGCGACTCGACTCCGTCTGTATCATCGTCTACTGCTGCAGCAACCACTGAGGCATCTGAAGAACCTACAATTTCGTCTCAAGCCAACACCGAGGAAGCTGCCACTACAAGCGGATCCACTGCATATGTATCACCCTCCACCGCTACATCAACCACTGAGGAAACTGAAGGAACAAGAGCTCCATCGGAAGCAAGCACAAAGGAATCTTACACTCCGAGCGGATCGACTCCATCGTCTACTGCTGCATCAACCACCGAAGCAACTGACGAAACGACAATTACGTCTGAAGCAAATACCGAGGAATATTCTACTCCAAGCGAATCGACACCATCTGCTACCCCATCTACTTCTGCATCTACCAGTGAGGCAACTGAAGAAACGACCGCTCCGTCTGAGGCTAACACAAGGGAATCTTCCCGTCCAGGCAGATCTACACCATCTGTAACATCATCTACTGCTGCACCACCTACTGAGGCGACTGAAGGAACAACTAACTCGTCCGAAGCAAGCACCGAGGAATCTTCCACTCCGAGCGGATTCACTCCATCTGCAGCATCCTCTACTGCTACACCAACCAGTCAGGCACCTGAAGAAGCAACCACTCCATCGGAAGCAAACACAGAGGAATCTTCCACTTCGAGCGGACCGACCCCATCTGTAGCACCATCAACTGCTGAATCAAACACCGAGGCAACTGAAGAAACGACCACTCCGTCTGAGGCTAACACAAGGGAATCTTCCCGTCCAGGCGGACCAACACCATCTGTCACATCATCTACTGCTGCACCACCTACTGAGGCGACTGAAGGAACAACCATCCCGTCCGAGGCAAGCACCGAGGAATCTTCCACTCCGAGCGGATTCACTCCATCTGCAGCATCCTCTACTGCTACATCAACCAGTCAGGCACCTGAAGAAGCGACCACTCCATCGAAAGCAAACACAGAGGAATCTTCCACTTCGAGCGGACCGACCCCATCTGTAGCACCATCAACTGCTGAATCAAACACCGAGGCAACTGAAGAAACGACCACTCCGTCTGAGGCTAACACAAGGGAATCTTCCCGTCCAGGCGGACCAACACCATCTGTAACATCATCTACCGCTGCACCACCTACTGAGGCGACTGAAGGAACAACCAACCCGTCCGAGGCAAGCACCGAGGAATCTTCCACTCGGAGCGGATTCACTCCATCTGCAGCATCCTCTACTGCTACACCAACCAGTCAGACACCTGAAGAATCGACCACTTCATCGGTTGCAAATACAGAGGAATCTTCCACTCCAAGAGTATCGACTCCAGGTGTTACATCCTCTACTGCTGCATCAACCACCGAAGTAGCTGACGAAACGAAAATTACGTCTGAAGCAAATACCGAGGAATATTCTACTCCAAGCGAATCGACACCATCTGCTACCCCATCTACTTCTGCACCTACCAGTGAGGCAACTGAAGAAACGACCACGCCGTCTGAGGCAAACACAAGGGAATCTTCCCGTCCAGGCGGATCAACACCTTCTGTAACATCATGTACTGCTGCACCACCTACTGAGGCGACTGAAGGAACAACCAACCCGTCCGAGGCAAGCACCAAGGAATCTTCCACGCCGAGCGGATTCACTCCATCTGCAGCATCCTCTACTGCTACATCAACCAGTCAGGCACCTGAAGAAGCGACCACTCCATCGGAAGCAAACACAGAGGAATCTTCCACTTCGAGCGGACCGACCCCATCTGTAGCACCATCAACTGCTGAATCAAACACCGAGGCAACTGAAGAAACGACCACTCCGTGTGAGGCTAGCACAAGGGAATCTTCCCGTCCAGGCGGATCAACACCATCTGTAACGTCATCTACTGCTGCACCACCTACTGAGGCGACTGAAGAAACAACCAACCCGTCCGAGGCAAGCACCGAGGAATCTTCCACTCCGAGCGGATTCACTCCATCTGCAGTATCCTCTACTGCTACATCAACCAGTCAGGCACCTGAAGAAGCGACCACTCCATCGGAAGCAAACACAGAGGAACCTTCCACTTCGAGCGGACCGACCCCATCTGTAGCACCATCAACTGCTGAATCAAACACCGAGGCAACTGAAGAAACGACCACTCCGTCTGAGGCTAACACAAGGGAATCTCCCCGTCCAGGCGGATCAACACCATCTGTAACATCATCTACTGCTGCACCACCTACTGAGGCGACTGAAGGAACAACCAACCCGTCCGAGGCAAGCACCGAGGAATTTTCCACTCCGAGCGGCTTCACTCCATCTGCAGCGTCCTCTACTGCTACACCAACCAGTCAGACACCT